AAAAAAAAAAGAATTTCGAAAAAACATTGGTAAGTCTGTATCATAATGTCTGGTGTTTTCGTGTTTGTTGGTTTGTTTTTATTTTGTTTTATTTTGCGAGTTGGTTATCAGATGCTGCTCCAGCCAGCCAGTAAATCCCCTGCCAACCCGCCCTCTCCTTCCTGTGCTGCAAGCATCAGGCGCACCTCGCAAACAGAGGGCGCCCTTACTCCCAGCAAATGGACGGCAGGAAACCGATTGGTGCCTATGCCATCTCCAAAATGCGCTGGCTGATGTTGGGGCAGCATGAGTACGAGCAACTCTTTTGGTGGAGATGCCCGTGATGCCGCCCCCACCACGATACCGCCCTGGGCAACCGCCCATGTCACCCTTATCAAAAACCGCTACTGGAGGTTGTCATAATTCATCCATGACAGGGTTAAATAACAATAATTGCAATGAAAATAATGTTGAAAGACCAGTGGATGGCAGGGTATAGAGTGACACATGAGTGTCCAATGTAGTAGTTTATGTGCATGTATACATTCAACACTGACACAAATACAAGGAAACAGTCTTTGAATAGCTGTTCACGGTAGTGACCACTATGCGCGAAAGGGTTAATAATACCCTCTATATTATAATTTGATATATTTGCTCCATGTATAATTTTAACTACTTCTTTTATTTTATTTTAATGTATAAATGCCACAAGAAATTGTCTACCAGTCATATTAAACAATGCTGATCAGTCTTTTTACCATTTTATTTATATGGAATCTTTTGGTTTTCTTTGCACTTCCCTTTCGTCTCCATGGATATTGTCCAAAATGTATTATCCAGAATGCAATCTAGAGCTGTTGATCCATCCATCTCCGACCCAATTTACTAAGGTACTGTATTATTTTATACATGTAACCTAAATGTGCATTGGGTATGATACTTTCTTCTAGCTCTAGTGCATGTACTTACCCTGTCGTTACTCAGTACTTTGAAATGGCTAACAGCTAAACAACAATTCAGTCCAGGTTTGAGCTTATTTGTGGAAATATGGAATAAATATGGAAGTCGTCTGGACAGTTGACATTTTGTTTTTATGAGAATATTAATTATTTTTTGAGGATGCACTGAAAGCATGCAGTTATCCTGGAACATTTATTTACTTTAAAATAAATATAATTTAGTTCTTACTATCCCACAAACAATGATACAGATATGACTTGTAATAACTACTTACTCTGTGCTACATGAAAATGTCCAAGCAGTATTATCCAGCAAATAATTTTTCTTTCCATGATGGTTGTAGTTACTTCTCACTGCTCTCAGCACAGACTGTTTTTATGTCTGATTGTGCATTGTACTTAGATCATGAAATGCTCCTCCCTCCACTATTCAAAGGAATGTTTAAGGATTTGTGACAGAGACAACGTTCATAGAAACTGAAAAAATAGGTATGTGCACGGGAAAATACATATCTGTGTAATGTAGGACAAATTCATTTTTACTTTTTAATTATTTATTAATATTATCACACACTTACACTATGGGCCTTGCAGCATCACAGGGTGACAGTCCAGTTTCAACAGTTAATGTCACTACAATCTCTACAAGTTTAACGTAGTTTGTCGTATCTGGTAGTGTCTGATTTGTAGCGTCTTCATGATCTTATTAAGTAAAATTCTCATTCTTATTGTAGGCTATGAATGGAAGCACTCTGTAGGAGTACATCACTTAGTGTTTATAAGTCATAAGCAAAGCATTTCATTTGATTTTAATAAAGAGACAATTAACAACACAAAACAACAAATATAAATTGTTAATTGTAGATTAGAATTGTTCTTGTTGTCCACTGCACATTTTTTAATACACTTAGCTGACGTTTTTTTTTCCTTTTAAGAAATATAAATAGCTCGTGTACATAAAGTGCCTTACATTGCATGTAGTAACTAAAACTTCATGAGGTAGGCAAACAGGTTTTTCATTATGTGTTGGACTTCCTCCTCAGAATAATTTTTACTGTGTGTGTGTGTGTGTGTGTGTGTGTGTGTGTGTGTGTGTGTGTGTGTGTGTGTGTGTGTGTGTGTGTGTAGCTGTTTTAGGGTTACAAGGTTATAGTTAGGTTTAAGGTAAGTATGAAGGTTAGGCAATAATTTCTGATGGTTAATGTTATTGTAAGGGGCTAGGGAAAGCATTATGCCCATTCAATGTCCTGACTAAGGTGTGAAAATGAGAGCTGGTATGCTTTTCCAATGTGGAGGTATGTAAAGACGACAGGAGAGGTCTCAGTGTCTCACTCCAACTTTATTACTGGATTCACCAGAACTCCACGTCCAAAAAGCGCCCAAATCTGTGAGTGGAGTCACCTGGTGGTCCGCCACAATATATACTGGTCAAAAGTTTTAGAACACCCTAATCTTTCCAGTTATTTATTGCAATTTAAGTAATCCAAGTCCAATGAATAGTTTGAAATGGTACAAGGTTAAGTAGTTAACTGCCAGAGATTAAAAAAATGTTAGGTTACCCAAAACTGAAAAATAATGTACATTTTAAAATTATACAAAAAGACCTTTTACAGGTAAAACAAAATGGGCTAACAATTTCAAGGTTTTATGCAGCAATGGAGGTTGAATAGTACTGTACTGCACAAAGTAGTGTGTCGCTACAAAAATGGTGGGAAAAGGGCAGTTAATAATGGAAGAGAGACAGACTATCATGACACTTAAAAATGTAGGTCTTTCCTACAGAGAAATTTCAAAGAAACTCAGGGTGTCAGTGACTACAGTTTCCTTCACCATCAAAAGGCACTCCGAAACTGGGGAAAACTGTGACAGGAAGAGGTCTGGAAGACCCAAAGCTACAACTGATTCGAGGACAATTTTCTGAGAGGTAACAGCTTGCATGATAGGCTGCTCACAGGACAACAGCTTCAGGCACAGCTTAATAGTGGTTGTAGTAAGCAAGTCTCAGTTTCAACTGTGAAGAGAGTGAAGACTTTGAGCTGCAGGTTTGATAGGGCGAGTTGCAGCAAAAAAGCCATTGCTAAGATGTCACAATAAGACAATGGCCATGAAACACCGCCACTGGACTACTGAAGGCTGGAAAAAGGTATTATTATTGATGAATCAAAATTTGAAATTTTTGGTTCATCGCGCTGGATCGCTGTACTCCGCCAAGCAGGAGAAAGGATGATTCTACAATGTGTGGCATCAACTGTCAAACATAGAGGAGAGAGTGTGATGGTCTGTGGCTGTTTTACTGGATCCAGGATCAGTTTACCAGTCACTGAGTACAGGTCAGTTTTCAATTTTACATTAGCCCATTTTAAATGACCTTTGAATGCAACATAGAATGCAACAGCATTTCTGGATAATGTTAACCTGTTCTATTGTTTTGCACATGGTAGACATTTAACATACATTCACAGACATGGGGAACTGTGCTCACAGACAGGGATTTCTGAAAGTCTTTCATTCCTCAGGGGTCCTCTTATTCTCCAACATTCTGTTCAGCAATTCACAGCTAAGACACCTCTGTTCCTATATATGTCATTGGGGAACACAGAAATTTTTCCATGCTGGGTATAGTTACTTTATTTATTTTGAAAACCCTGTATACACCAAACTCTTTAGAAGTTAGTGAAATTTAAAAAAAAAATGGATTGGGCAATAAAATCAACCTTTTCTTGCTTGAAGTACACAAGGCTCACATTAAATCAGGGGTCAAATGAATTATTCTGCATAAGAAATCAAAATATCCATAAAAAAGAAAGCTGAATGTTCAAAGACTATTACAAATAGGGGCAAAATAAAATTTGCGTTAAGCGGTAAATATAAACACGAACTAAATAGCAGTTATCGCCATCGTTCCCATGTGGTTCTTGTTTCTCCCGACTGTTTCAGTGTGACACACACGGCGCATGCTCATTTGTCCATGACTCCTGGCTTACTAGTGAATTTTTTTCAGCATTAGCTAAACTTTGAATAGCTAAAACAACAATTTTCCTTGTGTTGCATGAACACCTAGTCCGTGTATGTGCAGTGCCGCAATATTGGGGCTTTTTATGAAGACAAACAAACTGCGGAAACAGTGTTAGTGCGGCTTTTTGCTGGTGGGTTTGCTAGCTAGCTAAACAACAGAGATTGGTTGTTATCTAACTTACATACATTAAAGTGGACTTCTCAGTCTTTTTTGCAAATAATTAAGCGTTTTTTAAGCTTGGAAAAAATTGCAGTACTGTCTCAACCTCAAGGTAAGCTCTAAATTGTGCTGGCATGGGCATCGCTAAAAGAGTGCTCGGCCGCTTCGGTATTTTTTGACTCGTACAATAATGTGAGTTCAGTCCCGTAAAAGCAGAGAATGGACAGAGACTTGTTGAGGCAATGTCTGACGTATCATGGACAATCCCTGTTCAATACGCTGAAATGTGAACAAACGGAAAATCCAGACTTCCAAGCGGTGGTGTCTGACCTCTGCAAAGCCACGTATGAGAGGTATGTCTGAGTTTATGAGTACCACGGCAGGCTGCTGCAGAATGCCAAAAGTCATAAGTACAGACAAAATGCTAGCGCATCATTATTTTCTCTTAAAGTGTTAGACAAAGATGATATTGCATATAGGTTGTGAATTAAACGCTCTGAAAACAAAGATGAGTGAATATCACAGTCTTATCGCCAGTATAATTTTACTGTTTAAATCTCCTATTGCTCGTCCAGCAGATTTTCAGTTCATAAGCTGACATCTGCCTAGAAATGGTGACGCTAATGAGGAATTTGCAACTTTTGCTCGAAAATTCTCTGGATTTAAAATGACTTATAATTAAATTGCACAAGAAATATGCAGAAAAGGACTTCACCACACCTAACAGCTTTTGAATTTAGGTATTTTCAGTTCCATTGCCAGAGATGTCTAAAATCAAGCACCTAGACATGCAGTCTGACTTTACAGACATTTGTGAAAGAATGAGTCATTATAGGGAGCTCACTGAACACATGTGGGGTACTGCAAGACCATGCCACTCCTGCAGCAAATCAGTTTATAAAATGTCTTCACTCCCAGGTTAGGTAGGAAGCAGACCATATGAACTAGACAGGCAACAAACTTTGGCAGGCAGCCATCGAGTCAAGTCACTTTGCAATTGCAATAAAAACACTATCAATATTTAGAACTATACATGCAATGTACACTAATAAAGAAATGCAGCCACAGATATAAAATTGCAAAAATACGTGCTATAAATGTAGCTGCACAAAGTGATGAATGACCTCTTTTACATTTCAAATCAAGAAAGTCTGACCTGCAGCAGCCCCTCCACTCTGTTTGCAGTTGTGCTGGGTGCAGTGATTGATGCAGAAGAACTAAATTCATGTGAAACCATTAATTAAACTGGGCATGCAGTGCAGTAACACTTACCAGCGATGTGGAAGTTTGTTAATAACAAATTGTATGACTTACTAAAACTTATAGTTGAAGTATATCAGTATAATTCAGCTTAGGGGGCACAGGGACTTTACTGGATGAGCTGTGAGCCCCACACTGCTCCTGAGTATTCTGTTATCAGCTGCTCATCAATTGCTGAGGCACACTGTGTCAAAAAAAAAAAATCCCCAACACTCTGCTGACCTGATTACTGCAGGGTTCCAAGTCACTGACATTAACATCAGTACATGAAAGGCACACCATGAGCTTCATGGCATGGGTTTCCATGGCCGAGCAACACCTGTAGGTGTAATGTGTCAGTGGCGCACTACTTTTGTCCATGTAAGCATATGTTGTTTCCACACATGTTTTTCCCCCCAATCATTTGTGAATGGTGTAGTTAAACTAAAATACCATTGTATGAAAAGAGGTGCAAAAAGTACACATCGGTTTTTGACTAGCTACTGCAGCTGTCATTGTAGAATAAAAATCAGTATTGTAATACAATAACTCTCAATGAAGGTCTGTGAACAAAGAGCAGGAGTGTGTATTAATTCAACCTTTTTCTGTTGCATTACTTCATTTTCCTTTGCACCATTATACAAGAATTAGTTTGTCATAGGTGAATTCAGTCCAGCTGATCTTACTGATCTTTCTTTTGTTGTTGTTCTGTGCAGTAGATGTGAAGAGCAGAGCAACCCACTTGTGGAGCAGTTCATTGCCAGGAAGGCTGACATCCTGTTCAGTCCAGTATGGAGAACCGCTGGTCTTCGAGGAGAGGAGCACGAGGAGGAGGAGGCTGTAGGTGTGTGTTGTTCATTCTTGTGCGTGTAAATGAAGATGAGTATGACTTGCACATAGGCCCTATCTGATGTTGAGAAAAGTGTCTGTATTTTGTGACACACTGCATCAGATCTGTCTTCGCTCTTTCAGAGCCCTATGCAGTTATGCCACCGATGGAGGTATTCATGGAGGTGTCGTATGAGGAGAGGCGATCCATGATTTACCGGGATTTGGAAAGAGGAGACATTGTGGTGGGGAGGATCAACAACATTAGAGAATACGGCTTCTTTCTCACTCTGTTTTGCACAGCAGGAGGTCTGAAAAGAGACATTGAGGACTTAGAGTTGTCGGTAGGTCAACAAGTTCAGTTCAGTTCCTTTTGAATGTCATTGAGTTATGTCATAAATCATCACTGTAGAAGCTGAAAATTTGGGACTGTTGGCTAGTTGTTGATGAAAAACCGGCTGTGTAGCTCTGGGAATACCCGAGTGACTGCCAGTTCTTTCTTTGCGTGGAGTTTACATAAGAATACAGTCATGCTTAAAATTCATGTTATGAGTCCATGTGATGATATCTGTGCTGTAATAGTCATTTAGTCTTATGCTTTACGGGACGTACAGGAGTGGCAGTTCCAAAAGAGTTCTGCTTTTCATCTTCGTGTCTGTTGTAAAAAAAAAAACACCTGCATATTTGTCATCAAGCCACCTCAACTGAGGTATTACAAGTGAAAAAATTCCTCAACAGAAAGCTTCTTGGAGAGTTTCTGTTGTCAGACTGTAAATGGTGCAAATGTTGTGTAATTAAATATGCTGCTCTGTCCACCTGAACTAAATTGGCCATCCACCTTGCATTTTACTATTGTTTCATAAAGGCACATCTTTCTTCACCCTTCAGGCTCTGTGTCATGTCAGAGAAATTCCCTCCACTGGCAGCCATGATGATCCCCTGGCGTACTACCAGATTGGGGACTTCATCAGAGGTTTGTGTCTAACACAACCAGAACACTGAGGTCCAGAATCATATACTGCAGTTCTTTTCAGGAGCCTTTAAAACATTTTCTAACAATAGATTTATTAGACAGACAAAACCTGCATAAAGTATATTAATCTAGCTAATACCTTCATTCCGCAGAAAATTGGCCTATGATAGTATCTTTTTCCATTTGAGGCTTTTTTGTGTCTCAACACAACCTATATCTTAAAGTTTTAGTCTTTTATCCTATTTTAATTTTCAGGTTTGCAGTGCAGTTATAATCATAGAAATGCTTGCTGCTTTTTGAACTCCATAGTGCTGCTTCGCAGTACTGTAATGGGATATGTAAAGAATGATGGTCTGATCTTTTCTTATTCTGTAGCTGGAGTGAAAGATATTGATCGCTACCAGGAGAAAATCACAGTGTCGCTCCATCAGGCCTGTCTTTCTCCGAGCTTGGAGCACATCAAACTTGGTGTCATTACCAAGGAGGAGCTGCCTGTTCATTACAGGTAAAGAAACACAACACGGATTGCTGAAAGAAGAAAAACAAACCTGCTTAACTAGTTCGAGTGAATACTGTTGCATAGCATTGCATTAAGAAATGTCACACAAGCATTTGAACTAGTGTTTCATATCAAGCTTCAGTTGATTGTAGCTGCAGCAGACCATCTGTATTCGCAGTCACTGCTCATGTAAAATGTAAAGTTTGGGGATTCAATTTTTCTTTTTTATATTCATGCTTTTTTTCAAGAATATGATGTATTTTGTTACACAAATGAGCAGGCTGATATGTAGCCTGAGCTTTAATATAAAAGCTTAATCTGATATAAATATGTATTAATGCATTAATGTGTGGTTGCAGTGACTGCTCTCTCCTTAGTCGTAGTGTTCAGGCAGCCAATGACTCCAGTGAGACATATGAGCGTATACTGACAGGTTGTCATGGATACCACAACCCCTCTGTAGTGGACTACTTGCTGGAAAAGGTGGGAATTAGTGATACCCACCCACCGTCAATGATGCGTGGACTGCAGAGGTAAACTTTTAGTTGGTGCGATTACACAGTAATTCCCCTAATTTCATACAAATTTGCAAGCAGATTCATGCAATAATGGAAGTTTGGACATCTAGCAAGGCTGTTAAATAGTGTGGTGTCTGTGGTTCTTTTCGCCACAGTAAACTTTTCCAAGCAGAGGATTTTGCTTCTGCAATCAGGAAGAAACAGTCTGCATCCTGGGCCTTAAAGTGGTAATGTATTAGCTATCAACTTTGACCACAGAAAATGGATGGGATGTTGCATCATTTTGTTTTTGGACCACTTATTCCCCCTGGCTTAGACTTCACAATAATACAAACCTGACTTGTATTTTGCTTGTGTGTTTTTCAAGTGTCCGTGCAGGGGTGGACCACTTCAAACATGGTCGCCATGTGGAAGCCATGAATGAATACAACAAAGCCTTGGAAATAGACATTAGTAATGTAGAAGCACTGGTGGCACGTGGAGCTCTGTGAGTCTGCTTTCAGTTCAAATGATGAGAACTGTTGTTTGTATAATTCTGTCCTTGTTTGAGATATTCCCTCGTCTTTCATGACCCTGTAAACACCTAACTGGTTTAAATTACAAGAAATATATACAGTGTTTACAATAGTTTATTTATTGGATGCATCAAGACATTTTAAACGACTTTGGTAAGTTTCCTCATACCATTTCCCGTACCAGAATGGAATGAGGAACAGTAATTAAGACACCACACATGGTTCTGTACTATTGTCGTAGCTCTTTGGAATGAAAAGTTCCTTTTGGCTTAGTACCTGGTAAACACACATGACACTTGTTACCGAAAACTGGCATAGTCCTGAAAATGAGATCAATCTTATCGTCTTTTTTGTGCTTCTTTCACTTTGTACACAGGTATGCTAACAAAGGCAGCATCATGAAGGCAATAACAGATTTTGAACGAGCTCTGGAGAACTGTCCTGATCACCGCAACGCCAAGAAGTATCTGTGTCAGACACTAGTGGAGAGAGGAAAACAGTAAGTACTGCTTCACTTAGTAAGCAGATGTGAAATGAGAGCTTACAGTTCAGTCGTGATCTACTAGTTGAAAGACTCAGATCAGAGAGAACTTTAAGAATGTTAATGAGAAGCTGCCAGCTCCACCACCTTTTTCTTGTTACAGTGCACAATGGGCCTGATATGTCAGTATGCAAATACTATTGATTTTAAATCCAGGTATGAAGAGCGATGTGCAAGGTAACTACAGACAGAACAACTTTGATTTTTCCCAAGGAGGAAACGAAGCTTTCTCTGGCCTGCTCCTTTTTCCCTGTTTAACCATTTCACAGCCTGATTATGGTGCACTGCTAGTGTTTATGAATAGAAGCTGCATAGAAGGACGAAGTTAGAAAAAGGTTCACAGGCTATTCTGAAACAGGTGAGCGAGCATCAGCTCAGCTGCTTTGTTCCCGTGAAAAAGGGAGAAACATGTAAATAACATGTATTATTTTTCTTTGGCTCTCGGAGGAGGCGGACGCACTTTTCTCCTCTCCCTTATCTTCCCTGCTAGTTCTTATGTCCTTGTCTAGTCTCGTGTCTTTTTTGTATTACTTTCCCTGGAACACTCTCTCACAGTCTGTGTCTAAAACCTAAAAGAGAATTATGGATTTGATCAACTGGTCTCTGAATGCTATTGACAGCCTTTAACGAGAAGTCTGGGCTCGGGAGAACCCGAGTGCCCTGGAGGGACTTTCCCTGCCGGATACACGATGGACGGGTGGCAGAGGATCGTGTGCCTGGCGGGACTGTCGATCGAGGACGCTGAAGATATCTACCTATTTGGAACCATGATAACAGGGTTCTTGCTGATCGGAGCTGGCTTGGCCCGGGCTTATCGGAGAATTAAGAGAGCGGAACCGGCTGTTCAAACCCCCACAAGGCTGCCCGCTGGGATTGGAACGACAGGTGCGACTTCTCAGAAAGGGCTCACTGAAGGCAGCATGGTTAAGAGCTTGGAGGCGCTTACGACTGCAGTGAATGCTCAGAATAATACCTTTGAGCGTATGTATGTTGGATTACATCAGGAAAGAATCAACTCAGAACAACATCTCTGGGCGGAGCTGGATTACACCTCGGATCAGTTGGCTGCGGTCGTGACGTCTCAGAATCTGAGCAAAAAGAGTGACAAGACCACAGAATCGACGGCTAATAACATCACGGAGAAACTCGGGAGATTGAGAGACCAGTGTCGGAGTGTTAAAAAACAGCTTGAAATTCTCAATTACCATCATAACCCGGCTACCCCACAACTCCCTGATAACGACTGTGTTGAGTCTGTTCCTTCCCATTCCCTACAGGGACACCTGGGTTGGCTGGAAGACTGTTTACTTAGCCTGGCAGGGCGAAGGACACTGTCTCAGCTGAACTATGGACACGCACACACATACATATACTGATACTGATAAGCACTCACTGACGCATCACCCTCCCTATCCCAGATCCAACGCCACCTCCAACGCTTACCTCCCCCATGATGTGGACATCGGGTCAGCTGGAGGCGCAGTCGAAGATTGCAGCGGTCCCATATCAGATGTACACACTGGAACACTTTCCCATGTTGCTTGTCTGTGTTTATTGTGTTATGGTGTGTTGATACCTGTGCATTCCTGTATTATCCTTTTGTGTTGCACATTTCAATGTTTTTTTTCCTCGCTACCTGGCCTGACCTGTCTCCCCAATGTGATGTTTGTATTGTATGTATGGTCGGCAAGGTCTGTCATCTCGGTTGTGGGCAAAAGACCATCTCAAGGCTATCTCATCTCATCTCATCTCATCTCATCTCATCATCATTTACTCAAAGGATGTTTGTTTGTGCTTGCAGGCTTGAGGAACAGGAAAAGCTAGTAACAGCTGAGGGATTGTACAGAAGAGCTCTAACTTTAGATGGCTCAAACCCTGAGGCACAGGAAGCCCTGCACAAGATCACAGACACTATACAGGTGAGCGGACACAACATACACACACACATGCACGCGTGCCTGAGGGGTTCAAAAAAGTTGGCAGGTATTCAGTGTGTGTATTTTAGGCTTAACTATTAAAGCAGATGCAGAAATAATGGTCCCATCAAAGTTTAATTTTAAAATGGTGTTATTTCTGTGTGACTTCAGAAAAATTAATAAAAAAGGTGGAAAAAATGAGCAGCTGCTTGTTGCTCTGACAACACAGAGAAAGGGATGATATGAGGACAGATTAGTTTCTTGTAAAATTAGTTGACAAGTTCCCAGAACTGTATTTATGTGTGCTCTGCTTAAATATGTTTAACATGTTTTTTTTAACAAATATGTGTGGCTCTGTGTACTGACCACAAGAAAACAGGCACACTAAAGTTAGCAGCTAACCGGTGACCACTGGGCACTAAGCAGCTACAGATCCAGATATTTCTGATAGCAGTAAGAATTTTTCCTTGCTCAAAAGAGGCCTTTTGGGGTGTTTACGCACATGATCACAGTAGAATTCAGTTAAAAAAAGAGTCAGTTTTAAGCCCTCGGTATACCTGCTGCATTGGTTGCTTTGTCCTACGCTGGGAATGCCACTGACAGCCACATCCATTTCTGTTTGCTGTGGCAGTGCACGTAGCTGCTGTAGTATTAAACGATATCCTGAACGATAGGTGAAAAAACCTCTACATCCGCACTGACAAGGGAAGAGAAGAAGTGAAAACTGGAAGCAAAAGAATTGCTGAGGTTGTTTTTACACAAATAACTTTACATAGAAAAATGTGAGGGAAATCTGTTTGTTTTATGTAACTGAAAAAACAAAAAACTGTCCAATATATTAGATTTTTAAATCCCCAAATATTAGTCTGGAAAATCCTCTATCGGTTGGGCTGTGCTTTTCACTCCCATCAGCTGTATGAAAATGTATTACATTCAAAGACTGAAGAAAGAACTGTGAATATTACAGCATTAGTGGAAACTTGACAGGTCAATTTGAAGTAGTTGGTAAAAACGGGTGTTTGTAGTAATATTAATGAAGGCTGTGTTATATGCAGGTACTTCCCCTGATCATTGTTACTCCCCCTGTGTCCTTGTGTTAGAATGGCTGCTGTGAAAAGACTGTTGTTGACAGATTATCATAAGATTGTCTTACATGAAGCAGTGGATTTCGTGGTTAATCTGAGGCTTGTTAATTAAACACTAAACATTTGCACAACTTTAGCAGCTCAATAAATAAGGAACACCTCCTGTACCACGACAGTGTTAATTTTATACATGCAGGCCTTTGACACTTGTTCAGTGTTGACCTCTGTAACTTTAAATATAGGACATGAATTTAAAAAGGTTTACTAGTTATTAACTTGATTATCAGCTGTTTTAACTTAAGCCTTTTGTATGTAAGGTGTAGTATGCCACAACACTGAAAGGGCTAAGGTAAGTCTTTGGTAAGAAATGCATTAATAAAGGTGATTTATAATAGATTGCCTTATAAAATGTTTAATAGTGAAATGGCTCATTATAAAAGACTAACTTGTCAGTTTGTTGACAATCCTAGCAAGTCATTTAATTTGCATAGCAAGACAATGAACTTTGATGGGATAGCGCATGTTGATGACGTCATCAAGCTGCGCCTGTTTTGGTCGAAAGCATTGCAACCATTACAACCATTATCATCTGCAAATTATGCCCGGCATAGCAAAGAGATGAAGCACTTTTGAAATATGGGGAAACCCAAAAACTGCCCTTCCTCCACTTCCGTAACATTGATTCATTAATGTTGAATTCTCTCGCAGCTGCTCTATTCCCATGTTGTTGCAGTATATTAATAACTAACCTCGTATTGTGGATGAATAATCTCAGTTGTTCTCCTGACTGAAGTTTGGCCCGTGTACAGCATCCTGCTATGCGATTGCATTCGTCCCTGACCACCAGAATCCCTCACGTTAACTTTTATCGAGTGGAAAAAAAAGTTGGCGTTCCTCCTCCAGCTTCACTGTGCTAATGTTATGCTAACATAGCTGTGTCGCTAGCAATCAGGTAGCACAACATTATATACCAGGTAGTCCAACTTCAGTAACCCTGCAGACACCACTGCTGTTTAGTTTTCTGTCTTCATTTATGTTGGAAGTGGTAGCAGAGCTGTACGTTTTAATTAGCTTCAGAACATGGTATGTCATGTTTAGGTGGAAACTAGCGAGCTAACTTCCTGTTAACTTCTAACTCCGTTAAATTTAAGAAATTTTGTTTTCATGGATGCCTGGATGTTAAACTTAATTGTTACACCTGGTAAAGCAGCAACGCTGATGATTTTATTAAAGATGAAAGAATTTAGACCGTTTTTAACTCTCAGTTTTCGTTTGACTTTGGGACCTGAAGCGGACAGAGTTTTGGACCCAGATTACTCCGCAAAGCTCCTCACTACGGCAGCCGTAATGCTCTGACAATCCATCAAGCAGTGCGGCTTACCAAAGTTGTACTAAAACATTTTTTAACAGATTTCTGCACGCCCAAATCGGTTCGAGGTCAGTAGGTCATACATAAGGCACACTCTCGATTTTTGAGAAAATTAAAGGATTTTAAGTGTGCCTTATAGTGTGGAAAATACATTATAGAGAAGAAAATAATATATCGCGATATATATCGTTACCGCACGTGCTTCAAATTATACCGCGATATGGATTTTAGGCCATATCGCCCAGCCCTACTTTACACTATACACAGTCATCCACCCATTCACACACACATTCGCACACAGAAGGAGAGAGTGAGACAGCAAAGAGTATAACAATAAACAGTAAATGTGTGTGGGAACGCCTGGGTGCTGAAGAAAGACATGAGCTGCTGTCCATGGAAACCAGTTTGAGCACATTTCTAAAGTGCATATTATTCATGTAGGAATGTTTTCTTTAAAAAAAAACAAAAACACTATATTTAAAAAAGAAAAAATGCTTTTCTACTTTGCTCCGAGCACTGTGGTTTGTAATACTGATGAACTGTTTTGGTGTGTATGTGTGTGTTCGCAACCCTTGGACTCTGACCCTCTGCCCTCTGACCTTCTGACTGCTGCGGTCTTGTCACCTGCCTCGTGGGGGGGGGGAATAATCTGCACAATGGCAACAATGACTCCTCTTCTCCTGGATACTTGTATTCCGTGTCCCGGGTTCAAATACGGTAATGTTGAAACCTTCTCCACCTAATTCTGGGACAAATACCATTTCTTTGCACATCTCTGCTTGCACCTCTGTCCTTCCATCAATCTAAAAAAATTTTTTAAATCTACCCCCACTCTGGGATCATACCACATCATTCTCTATGGTAAATCTGTAACTCATCACACATTTCTCTTCCTGCGATCTGTTTGGTTTGTGACGGTTATGTATGCTCTACAAACCTCTTGATTTTTTTCTTTCCCTCTCCATACATACTTTCTCTGATGCAAATGGCTGAATAAATGAATGAATGAATGATTGTTGTTTCGGGATTTTTGTGTGGTTTTGGGTCATGGCGTGTATGTCTTTGAATATGTTTCTGTGGACTTTTGGCTGCCTGCCATTGTCATGTCTCGTCTTGCCTCGCCTCACCCGGCGACTAAAGAAATCGATTCGCCTGCGAGAGGAAGCACTGGCTAAGGAACAGGTCAAAACTAAGAGTGGCCAGAGCAGTGCTGAAAAATTACGTAAGATCTTAAAAGAGGAGAAGAGGTAAGCTGACCGATTGATTTATTTACTTAAAGCTAAAAGAAAAGCCACTTCTGTTAAGGACAGCCTCATAATACCCCGCCTGTTTTACCAGAAAAATATTATCAGTACATGTCTTCTATTTTTCAGGATGAAGAAAAAACGGAAGAGATCATCCTCCTCCTCATCCTCCACTTCTTCAAGGACATCCTCCTCCTCCACATCATCATCGTCCTCTCGCAGGCAGTCTAAAAAGAAGAAAAAGAAAAGGAGGAAATCAGAGCGTGGAAGCAAGCGCCATCGCAGGATCTCCTCAAAGGAGAGCAGGAGAAGCAACGAGGGTAAGAAGGATAGGAAGGAGAAAGAGGAGGATGACGAGGTGGAGTGGTATCCCGCACCTTCCAATACCTCAGCTACTTTTCTCAACCAGGTGGGAGGCCTGGGGTTTGGATTGAGGGACGAGGAGCAGGTAGAAGGGAAGGATGCAGATGATAGAAAGAGTTTCAAGCTGTACTCGCTGTCAGCAGCTTCAGAAGAGGAAGAGTCTGACTCCTCACAGAGAGAAAGAAAGGGAAGGGACAGGGAGGAGAGCAGGACGAAGAAAACAAAGAGCAGCCTGAGCAGAAGCCCAGATAGAGAGAAGATTAGGAGCAGGAGTAGAGAAAGGAGGAATAGAAGTAGGGATGGTGACAGGAAGAAAGACAGAAGAAGCAGTGACTACAAAAGGAGAAGTAGTTTAGATGAAAATTCCAAGCGGAAATTATCCTGCTCGTCAGGAGAGTTGGAGTATTCGGGTCGTAAATCTAGTTACCGACCTGAGCATTCTGGAAATTCCACTTCCAAACACCCAGAGAACAGGAATGACTCATCATCCAGGAACCTCTTTGAAGAGAATAGAGGCAGGCTGGAAGTTCACGGAGTAGATCAGGTGAAAAGAGAGAAGGAAAGTCGAATGGAAGAAGGTACCATTCCAGATCAAGGACACAGTAAAAAAGGAAGTGCTGGAAATCAAAATGAACAGTGCAGCATGGGGGCCAAAAAGGACCTCCCTGCAAACCTGTTGGATATTTTTAACCAGATTGCTCAGTTTGAGAAGGAAAAAGGAGTGAAACCAAAAAAATAATAAGAGGGTATGATATCCATACAGGTGTTCGGAAAAAAGGTGAAAGTAATATTAATACCATGAAACTACTCTCTGGACTGCATCAATACTCCTGATCTATGGCCAAATCTGTTGCTGATTGAATGTCACCAGCTATTTTTTTTTTTTTTTTAAAGTTTGTCTTTTTGCAGAAAATGAGCCGTTTTACTTTGAAAGGTTGTTATTCCCTATGTCAGACTGGAGTCCTATAATAATTTCCTAGTAACTGTTTGTCAAAATGTCCTGAAATGTTCACCTTGATGGGTTCAAACAGGTTTAACACTTTAAAATAATGCTACAGTAAATTCATATTTTTAAACTGGCAAACAGTACATGTCATATCTAAGCATGAGAATATCAGATTCAGTCCATATTATTACATTATCTTCAGAAGCATCGCCTTTAGAGAATAGTGAACATTTTGACAAGCTGTTGCATAACTTTGCTCTGTAAGCTTGATCATCTGTTCTGTGACGTTCTTTTTGCTGTCAAAGAAGTTGACTGCCTTATATTTACTGCTGTGTGCCATGTTGTACATTCTTTCTGTGGCTTGTTAAACCTCTGTCCAAACAATCCTTAAGACTATACTTAGTGCAGAACTTCCAGCTGTATTCTGACTAATTGTCTCCTGTAATAAAACAAAGTCAGTTGAGTCAGTAAAGCATTTCAAATATCAAACCTGCAAGTCGTTGAAGTCCTTTTTTTCTTCTTCTTTTTTTTTTTATAGCTGTAATCCAATACATGTCTGCATGTTATCTACAGTGATGAGCACTGTGTTACAGAAATGAGATCAGGTGCAGATATAATCAATTAGATGCAGTGTTGTGGAAAAGTATTTGCCCCCTTCATGGTTTTTTTTCCTTCTACATTTATTGCACTGTAATGTTTCAGATCACCAAACAAATTTTAGTATTGGACAAAGATGACCCAGGCCCATTGAATTAAGAAATCACTCAAATAGAACCTCTGACATATGCTTAAAAAGTCTCAGAAAATGCAACACATCACGCCACTATCTAAAGTCATTCAAGAGCATTTAAGAATCTAAGTCACTGACATTTAAAGGATTACAGACCATTGCTAAGACTTTGTTACTCAAGTGCTGAACAGTAGTGAATCTTTCCAGGAGTGGCCAGCCTACCAAAATTTCAACATCAACAGCATACCCAGAACAACATCTAAAGAGATGCAGTTGTCACTTGCCTCAATTAAGGTCAGAGTTCATGATTAAACTATAAAAAAGAGGCTGGACAAAAGCAGAAGACTAAAATCACTGCTGAACAAACAGAACACAAAGGTTGATCTCACATTTGCCAGAAGACATCAAGACCTATAGGAAAACATTCTATGGACTGATGAGACAAAAGCTGAACCTTTTAGAAGGTCTGAGTCCCGTTACAGCTGGCTCGAAAAATACGTTGGTGGTAGTGTGATGGTCTGGGGTTGCTTTGCTTCTTCAGGGTCTGGATGACTTGCTGCAATTCTGCTCTCTACCAGAAAATCTTGAAGGAGAATCTCCTACCATGAGTATGTGCAGCTGGATAATGATCTGAAACACAACAGCAAGTCCAGCAATTTAAAAAAATAAGAATGTTTTGGCTTAGTCCAAGTTTAGTATGATTGATATGCTTTGTGACATTAAACAGCCCATTCATGCTGGAAAACCCTCCAGTGTCGCTGAATTAAAACAATTTCCTATTATCACAAACATTTGATTGCATTTCTTCCTGCCAGTGGTAGCACAACCAGTTTATTAGGTCTTGGAGGAATTAATTTTTTGCATAAGGTCAAATAGATTTGGAAAGAAAAATTTTGCATTTGCTCAGGATATCTTTGTCTTATATTTTACGTTCATGATCTGAAACATCAGATCAACAAATAAGTGTGAAAAACAGGAAAAAAGTAAGAAATTCTGTAGGGGGAAATACTTTTTCAGAGCACTGTAAATGTATAAGCATCACCTGATCTCACTGTTAGATGAAACCTTGAAAGGTCTCATCCTCACAGTGATAAGACATCATAGCTTGTGTCTGGGCTCTCAATGAGCAGCTAGGCCGTCCTTCGTAGAGCCAAAGTAAACTATGCCAAACAAACAAAAAAAGTCAGTGACTTTCAAAATGTTCCACTGGGCTTTGTCTTCCACAGGACTCCCAACACATTGAGAACTCATCAATTCAATACAACGATTTTAAATCGAGGACAAATCAGACTTGGGGAGGCTGTGTTTGGGGATAAATTTAAAAAGCCACTTTATAATCACACAGTCAAGGGTATCCATATCACTGTAATGTTAGAACTGTTGATATATTGAGAGTATCAAAGAGCTTATTAAAATCTGAATCAGCTTTATTGACCAGGTATGTATATACATACATTACTATTGCTTTGCTTTTTCTGCCTATTTTCATGATGTAAATGCAGCGGTGCAGAAAACCTTTAAACTTGGTGAAAATATTCAGCTGTGGGGTTCTTTCAAGTGAGTTGCACTTCTCTCTTCCACAGAGAGAAATACCACTGTATTTGCAGACACATTGCTAACCTCTCCTGGCTCCATAATATGTGTGGAAGAGGATTCATTTTCCACCAACGTATTGATCCTCTACATGCATGGAGGCTACTGTATATGGGCCTGTTTGAAGTTCTGGGAAAGTGTCAGTACTGCAGGCCTGTGTAGCTTTCCATCGACATTCGTGAAACCTCAACTTCATTCAAAAGAATCAGGATAAATCCAAAGGTTGGGAACACATGGCAACATCACAAGAAGCTGATTTAGGATAGAGTCAGAGGGTTTGTTCACCCAAAATCCAAGAGTACAAACTGTGACTCTATTCTTACAATCTTAGTAATATCAAAAACCTTCCTCATGGTCATAACACATTGTATTCATCGGCATTTAAAGTTTGTGCGTTAAACCAAAGTGATCAAAGTCATGGAAAGCTTCCTAATAAGTAATTAAGTGGGCCTTGAGTGGAGATTTATGTGGAATCACATTTTTAATGATTTGGGCAAAGTTCATACTAAGCTAGAATACCATTGAAAGCATGATAAAGACATGCAAGATCTCAAATATTAAAACACTTTAACTTGTAGGTTTTAAAACAGTAAGATGTTCCATGTAATATTTTACAGTTTTCATCAAGCATTAACAGTAAAGCAACAAATTTTTGGCTGGTTTTGGCTCCATAATTTTCCTCTGGTCATCGAGTGGATCAATAGCCCACACCTTGAGAACGACTAACATGTACTAAAACATCTGATGTGTTCTAGTTATTGTTATTTGTTTTGGTTTGTTTTTTTTTACTTAACACATTATTACTTCTGTGGTTTTGTCATACAATCTTTAAATTGAGGCAACACTTCCTTAAAAGTCATGCCATGTAACTCACATGAGATTTCATCCTTGAACAAATTAAAGCCAAAGTGGCCTTGTGGCTTATTGGTGCTTTAAGCTACTTGGTGTCACATATTTGATTTAATAACTGGACACACACGCACACTCTTTGGTGGCTGTGGGACCAGCCGTGCGTCACCCCGTGCCAAAGTAGCTTACTTCGGGCTTAGCTGCCAGCCTCCTGCTTCCCTCCTCCATCATTACTGGTCCCATCATCAGTGATGCAGTGGAGAATGCTGTACACCCCAGTCTATCTTGTTAGGGCAGATTAGCCACTAATATACAGGCAGAAAAGAAGCCTCTTCATCTAATGCTGTTCACCACACACTCCTGATCCTGTCCTTCCTCCCCTCAGATGCCTGACATCTTAATATTATAAATACTGAATACAGGAGATCTCGCTAAGTGCTCACTCGGTGGGTCATTAGTCCCGTAAAGAGCCACTGGAGAGGAGTTTTTGGTCTCCGCCAAGACGCCTCACTGAACACATGGATTATTCCATCCTAAAAAATTGTGATAAATGGATTCTCTGGCAGATTATGCTCTTCACTTTCAAATATAACACTGAATGAGGGAGAGCAGATGTCTTTTCAGAACAGCAAAAACATTTAGATTATTTATTTATTTGTTGTTTGGCCAATGAATCCCCGCAATCGTTTCCTTCATCTTGCACACCTTCACTTAATAACATGAATATTTAACACGAGCAAATGGGAAAAGAAAACCTTGTTTATCTTTAGTGAAGACACACTATGTACATGTCTTTCCTCTGATTTTTACAGCATCATGGAAAGAGTAAAACAGATGGTAAAATATTATTAAAATGTCTTTACTACCAGATAGAATGTGACCCTACTTTTCTCATTTTTTAATTTATTTATTCTATTAAAGGAGCTTTATTGTCATCACATGTTAACATGAGGTGGAACATAATTATGTACACACGGTCCCGGAGTGAAAAGAAACTAAATAACGAAGAAACAGATTTTTTTTTTTAAGTAATAAATAAATGGTTGTTTTTGTTTGTTTGTTTGTTTGTTTGTTTTTTTAACAAACATTAATGACAAGTAATAAAACAATACAATAAATAATACTATAAGTAGAGTGCAACAACCTGAGTACCAGTATGGAGTATGGGTTTAGAGTGTAGGTATAAATATACAGTGGGGCAAAAAAGTATTTAGTCAGCCACCGATTGTGCAAGTTCCCCCACTTAAAATGATGACAGAGGTCAGTAATTTGCACCAGAGGTACACTTCAACTGTGAGAGACAGAATGTGAAAAAAAAATCCATGAATCCACATGGTAGGATTTGTAAAGAATTTATTCGTAAATCAGGGTGGAAAATAAGTATTTGGTCAATAACAAAAATACAACTCAATACTTTGTAACATAACCTTTGTTGGCAATAACAGAGGTCAAACGTTTACTATAGGTCTTTACCAGGTTTGCATACACAGTAGCTGGTATTTTGGCCCATTCCTCCATGCAGATCTTCTTGAGAGCAGTGACGTTTTGGGGCTGTCGCCGAGCAACACGGACTTTCAACTCCCGCCACAGATTTTCTATGGGGTTGAGGTCTGGAGACTGGCTAGGCCACTCCAGGACTTTCAAATGCTTCTTACGGAGCCACTCCTTTGTTGCCCGGGCGGTGTGTTTTGGATCATTGTCATGTTGGAAGACCCAGCCTCGTTTCATCTTCAAAGTTCTCACTGATGGAAGGAGGTTTTGGCTCAAAATCTCACGATACATGGCCCCATTCATTCTGTCCTTAACACGGATCAGTCGTCCTGTCCCCTTGGCAGAAAAACAGCCCCATAGCATGATGTTTCCACCCCCATGCTTCACAGTAGGTATGGTGTTCTTGGGCTGCAACTAAGTATTCTTCTTCCTCCAAACACGACGAGTTCAGTTTATACCAAAAAGTTCTACTTTGGTTTCATCTGACCACATGACATTCTCCCAATCCTCTGCTGTATCATCCATGTGCTCTCTGGCAAACTTCAGACGGGCCTGGACATGCACTGGCTTCAGCAGCGGAACACGTCTGGCACTGCGGGATTTGATTCCCTGCCGTTGTAGTGTGTTACTGATGGTGACCTTTGTTACTTTGGTCCCAGCTCTCTGCAGGTCATTCACCAGGTCTCCCCGTGTGGTTCTGGGATCTTTGCTCACCGTTCTCATGATCATTTTGACCCCACGGGATGAGATCTTGCGTGGAGCCCCAGATCGAGGGAGATTATCAGTGGTCTTGTATGTCTTCCATTTTCTGATGATTGCTCCCACA